TCTTGGCTTTTTGGGTCCCCCCCCAGAACCAGTTGGGGTACCCCCCCCCTACGGCCAGTGGGGCCAGTGGTACGGCAACGCTCAACTGGGCCAGTACGTGCCCAACGGCTGGCAGGTCCCCGCCTACGGCGTCTACGGCCAAGCCTGGAACCAGCAGGGCTTCAGGTGAGTCTTTGGGCTCATTTCCCCCCTTTTTGGGCAAAAATGGAAGCAACGGCCCCAAAAGGAAAAGCTTTTTTGGGGGGGATTCGGTGGATGGGGACCAACTGGGGGAGTTTGCTGGTTGAACTGGGATTGGTGTGGCTCTTTGTCCCCTCCACCCACTTCTTTACTCCACCCCAAGAGCTATGAAGGGAATTTTCCATTAATTAATGAGAGATTAATTAATGATAATTAATTAATTCTACCCCTCCAAGGGGGGCTTGGGTTTCGGGGTGTCAAGGGGTGTCTGGGTCTCCCTCCTCCTCAGGAGCTGGAAAACACCGAGACCTCAACCCCCCTACCCAGAGCTGGCTGTAAAGGCAATTTTTCCATTAATTAATGAGGCATTAATTAATGATAATTAATTCTACTCCTCCAAGGGGAGCTTGGGTTTTTGGGGTGTCGAGGGGTGCCAGGGTCTCCCCCCTCCTCAGGAGCTGGAAAACACCGAGTCCTTTAACTCCATCCCCAGAGCTGGCTGTAAAGTGAGTTTTGCCATTAATTAATGAGACATTAATTAATGTTAATGAGATATTCCCCCCCAGGAGGGCTCTGGGGTTTTTGGGGTGTCAAGGGGTGCCTGGGTCTCCCTCCTCCTCAGGAGCTGGAAAACACCGAGACCTCAATCCCCACACCCCCAGAACTGGCTGTAAAGGCAATTTTTCCATTAATTAATGAGACATTAATTAATGTTAATGAGATATTTCCCTCCCCAGGGGGGCTCTGGGGTTTTTGGGGTGTTGAGGGGTGTCCGGGTCTCCCTCCTCCTCAGGAGCTGGAAAACACAGAGTCCTTTAACTCCACCCCCAGAACTGGCTGTAAAGGGAATTTTTCCATTAATTAATGAGGTTAATTAATGTCAATGAGATATTTCCCCCCCAAGGGGGGCTCTGGGCTCTGGGGTTTTTGGGGTGTTGAGGAGTGTCTGGGTCTCCCTCCTCCTGGGGGGCTGGAAAACACTGAGTCCTTTAACTCCACTCCCAGAGCTGGCTGTAAAGTCAGTTTTGCCATTAATTAATGAGACATTAATTAATGTCAATGAGATATCCACCCCTCCAGGAGGGCTCAGGACTCTGGGGTGTTTGGGGTGTCGAGGGGTGCCCGGGTCTCCCTCCTCCTGGGGAGCTGGAAAACACCGAGTCCTTTAACTCCACCCCCAGAACTGGCTGTAAAGGATTTTTATTTTATTAATTAATGAGACTAATTAATGTTAATGAGCTGTTTCCCCCCCTTTCCCCCGGCAGCCAGACACAGTCGTCGCCGTGGATGGGGCCCGGTTACGGGGTGCAGGCGCCGGGGGGGCAGAACGGCAGCGTTTTGGGGGGGCAGAGCGGGTACCGGGTGGGATTCGAGGCGCCCTGAGGAGGAGGAGGAAGAAGAGGACGAGGAAGAAGAAGAGGAAGACGAGAGGAAAAGCGACGCCTCGGGCTCCAAACCTCACCTTTTTTTATTGTATTTTCTTTTTTTTTTTTTTCATTGGAAACACAGGGAATTGCAGGGATTGTTTCAAAATAAAAAAAAAAACAACAAAAAACTGCCGCCGGGGGCAGCGAAATTGCACAATTTTGACTTTTTTTTTAAGGAATGTGATTTTTTTGGGTCTGTTTTTAATATTTTCTTTCATCTCCCCCTCCCTCCCCCCGGGAGAAAACACCAACAAAAAGAAGAAATAAGAAACAAGAAGCCAAAATTTGGGGGATTTTGGAGTGTTGGCATCTTCTCCCCCCCTCCCCCTCTCCCCAGGGTTTTTTTTTGACCTTAAAATCATTTTTATCCCTTTTTTTAAAAAAAACACCTATTTTGATGTCTTTTATTTTATTTCTCTTTTTTACCCCCCCTTTGCCTTAAGGAGCTTCCACCGGGGACGGCGCCAAATCCTGGTGCTAAAAAAACGGGCCAAAATCCCTCTTTTGGGTTATTTCGGGTTGGTTTTTTTTTGGGGGGGTGGGGTGGGGAGGGTTTTTTGGGTTGTTTTTTACCGATTTCTACATTTCCGTGTATCGATTCTGTAAAATATTTGAGCGAATTAAGACTTTTTTTGCACAAGACTCAGCCACCTTTGTCTGTTTCCTTATTTTAAAGGGAGGAGGTCGGGTCCTTCCAGGGTGGGGGTTACGCCTCAAAATTTTAACTTATTTCTCTTAATTTTGGGGCTTTTGGGGCAAATTTTAGAATTTAAAAGTCTGGTTTTAATGAATTAATTTATAAAGATTCCCCCCTGATAGCCTGGTTCACCTGGATGTGACCAGAGCTCTGCGAAGCTGAGGGCAAACCCCTCCGTTTGCACAAAATAAAAAGGAAAAATGTAAAAAAAAAAGGAAAAAAAGGAAATAGGAAAAAATGCCAAAACAGGGAAAATTGCCAAAAAAGGGGGGAAAAAATGTCCAAAGAAGGGGGAAAATGCAAAAATAAGGCAAAAAATAAGCAAAAGCGGAGCTTGTTGTGGCCTTTCCTCACTCGTGCGGTGGTGTCCGAGGGAGGGACGCCGCTCCGCGGGAAATTTGGGGCGAAAAAGCTCAAAATCGGGCGATTTTGGGGCTGTAAAAGCTGGCGCATGCGCACTGCACCGCCTCGACGGACTACAACTCCCGGCATCCCCCGCGGGGACCTCCCCCCACCCCACGTGACAGCGGCCGGCCAATAGGAGCGGGGAGGGGGGCGCGGCGTCGCCTCGGAGGCCTTCGGCGGCGGTTCGGGGCAGGTTCGGGGGGCGCGCGCCGGGGCCCAGGTAAGAAAAAGGCGGGAAGGGCCGGGGTGGGGAGG